ACAGAACACAGTATGTTGTGTTCTATGATACAACACTTCTACTTCAGTTGTCTGGATTTTGCAATTGTTTACTTCTTTTCTTGAAACTGGAAATATCTGGTTTTTTGTTGGAATTGTTAACTTGTTTTTTTCTAGCATACGAATGTCTTATTTATTTTTGGTAGGATAGATAGGCGAGCTAGTTTAAATTGTATTAATTTGCAAAGTTCTGATGGTTCAAATTGTTGAAGTTTCGGGATTTGGCTTCTTAGTTGTATATAGATAAAAGTGTCCCCCTTCCCTCTTCCTGCATTTGTCACTTGAGTAGTTCACTGTATGGTTATGGCTATTCTAAAATGTGGTTGAGGTTTAGCTTTAATGGTGCATTTTATATAGCCATGGGGTATTATTAGTCTCTAAATGATTGTTGTTTTCATCTTGTGTTACCATCTTATTTTGGCTATAGGCTTCAATCAAGATGCAACCAACTAAAATAGATGTCTGATTGAGATTTTTGGTGAGAGGAACAGATATGCATATGCAATAGCATTTGTTTTTTGTTTGCCTCACGTGTCCTTTGTTATGATCTCAATACATTTGAACTCTTTGACAATTTTGTTGTAAAGACACCCTTTTCATCTTTACTGTCAAAATACGTTTGGTATGAAACTAAAGACTCTGGCGCTTAACCTATATTACCTTTTCTTTTACCAACTATATTTAAATGATCTGTGCATTATAATTAGGGCCATGGATGCATAGACAATATCATTTAGTAAGCTGAAAAAAACCATTTTTGGGAGCTTTTTATATATGCAGTCCCGCCTTTGTAACATGTTTTGATGTTTCAAGTCTATACCCTTTGAATCATGTCGTTGATACCATTTCCCTGTTTCTCTTTTTGGTTTAACATTTTCATTTGAGGTTTTTGACCAAAAAAATTGCTTTCAAATACTGATACAGGTAATGGAATGGTGAAAATTGACTTCAATTCTATTCTGAAAATCTGTAGGTTCTTCTCCGAGGTCCTAAGAATGGCTGTGAGGCTGTGAAGCACTTTGGACCAGCTCCTGGTGTGCCACACAGCCACACCAAGCCCCATGTGCGGTCAAAGGGAAGGAAATCCGAGAGGGCTAGAGGAAGAAGGAGCAGCAAAGGTTTCAGGGTTTGAGATTCCAAATGTCCGGGATAGAAGTTATCAACCAAATGAGAACCTTTTTTTTCACATTACTTTCGCTTCCGTGGTTGGGAATCTTTTGTAACTTTGTTTTTTAAGGATATTTTTAGAGTGATTGAACATTGTTTTTTGTTGGTGGATATCTATCAGGGAGTATTAATTTGGATATAACTACTTGTATATGATCTATTAATAGACTAATTTGGATCAAGTATTGTAGAAGAAAGAGTGGTTCTTTAAACCTAATTTGCCCTATTTGCAAGATTTGAACTTAAAAGATCTCGTGTATTTTTATAATGTTTTAAGTGCCACGTGAGGCGCTTTATTTATTCCTTTTGCAGTCGATGAACTTTGCTGAAATATAGATTTTGTTGGAGATAGAGGTTCATATAGCAGGGGATAGGTTTGGCAAGTAAGGTCGTATGACAATTACAGCTACTTTGCACTTGGTTTGGTATACCTTCCTTCAATGCCCACTTCCCCAATCTACATGTATACCTCCCTCTATACTAGTATAGAATGATTGTATTGTACCATTCTTTTTTTTTATTAATTGTTCCCTAAATACATTGATTAATTGTAATAAGAGTAAATTACAATTATATAATAGATCTTAATAACAAATCTTAGTTTTTTTTGTCAATTAAAGTTTTAGAAAGTTTAATATTCTAAAGTTTGTTTTTTCACCAGTGATATGATTTCTTCATCTCATTGATCAAATTATTTAAAATTTAATTGTGGTGGTTTCAACAAAATTTTAGCTTGTGTGTATAATTGGCTTGATATATTGAGTTTGGATCTTGTGATCATAGTAATTAATTTTTTTGGTGATTATGTTTTTTGTAATGGTGTTTATCCCCGTTTGAGGGTATTTCGTGTTTTCATATGTAATGGGTGTTTTATTCAATAAAATATGAGGCACTATTTTCTTCTTTCCAATATTCGTTAACATACTTCTTAGTATGTGGACGAATACGAAGGGAGTTTTAATGAGACCTCTAACTTCTATAAAAAAACCATAGTAATTAATTTACGTAAAGTGTTACTGTGATATAACTTCAATTGAATGTGTTGGATAAAGAACAAAATATCATAGATTAAAAAAATATGTTACATAAGGTTGCACTAATATAGTTCATTGGTTAGGGTATTATGATCTTGAATTTCTTAGTTGTGTGTGTTTTTTTTCAAACAATAATTTATTTCTTCTATGAATTCTAGAGAGTTTTTTTCCTCTCTACCCATTAGACTTATCAGGAAAATTGACAATAACAGTATTAACACTTTTAATATCTAAAACTTCAAAATTAAGAGTACATAATTTATTGTGAACTTACCTTTATTCTCAGTTGTTCAAGACAAAAAAGTAAACTCCTGCATATAAATATGTATACAAGTACACAAGAAAGTGAATTCATTGAATGACTTTAGTGATAAAAGGGAATGCTATTTTGTCAAACGGATCCGGATTCGAACAACTATAACTGCTAGGTGTGTGATATCCATTATAATTTTTTAACATATATTACCTTATAATCATTCACACAATTTAAAAAAAACAACATCCATCATTTCTAACGTAATTAAACGCTAATCTCAAACCCCAACGCATAAATAACAAGTGCACAAGGATGTGAACTTACGTTTATTCTTAGCTACTAACCAAAACACAAAAGTAGGTTTAGTCTTATAGTTTTTCTTTCCCCTGTGAGATCCCATCAGGGCCGTGGCTAGGTTTTCGGGGGTCCTGTACAAATTCCTATAAAGGCCCCTATTTTTTAGATATATTCGATTTTGGGGTAACAATAGTGGCGTTTTTTAAAAAAAAGTCGCAATAGGTCCATCTATAGTGGTGTTTATTGAAAAAACGCCACTATATATATATTTTTGGGCTTTTTTGGGTGCACAATAATAGTGGCGTTTTTTGAAAAACGTCGCAATAGGTATATCTATAGTGGCGTTTATATAAAAACGCCACTATATATACACTTTTTTTTTGATTTTTTTGGGGCCTGCATGGTCGCGCAGTTCGCGCCGCCCCAGCTTCGGCCCTGGATCCCACCTTGTACCTCACTCTTAGAAGTTTGAAGTTTCAATTGTCAATATAAATACAAGAAATACTATACATAATGTTTGAACTTCCAATGGTAATAAAAAGAGTTAAGAATAGACATGCTTGAATATTAAGATTGATCGTATCTCTTCCTTTCAACCTCAGAATCCTACCCAAAGCCTTGAAGATTCCTTTTTAATCACCAGAATAATTGTTGGGTTAGCTATAACTAAGTTAAAAGAACAAAACTGCTTCTTCAATTTAAAGGATGATTTTGCAAACTTCTTAATGCTCTATTTTTCTTCATATTTTTTGTCAGCAAGGATGATCATAAGAAGAAGAGATGAAGATGGTAGCATTTCATTTTCCTTCTGTGAATCTAAGACAGGTTTCATCACATTAAACCTCTTAATGTGACACAACAAAAACCACTAGCATTGTCTTTAGGTTTATTTCTCTTTTTAGGATATCTATCTGTACATTTTTCCATTAGTAAACTAAAGTTTTCCCATAATTTTACAACCAAGCCCTTTTGGACAAGGTTTGACATCACAATCAATTTTGATTAATTCACTAATTTATTTAAGATTTAAAAAATTAAATTTATCAAATTTGATGTCGTCTTTTAATTGAATTTTGACGTAAAAAAATCAGGGATACTTCAATCTAATATATTTTTTGTTTTCCAGCAAAATAAACTAAAATCTGGGCTGTTTCTTAATGTATGTTCGCTATTCACTACAATGATTATAAGGTAGTATTTATTTAAAATCTTTCATAGTTATTGATAACGATAAAAACACACATTTTATATACGTAACTACTTAAATTCGTATATTCTAAAAAAAGTAACAGTCCGTTTTACGATTGAAATCGCTAAATAAATTTGTATTTATTTTAAACATGGGAGAATATCCCCTAAAGTCAAGCAAATTGATTCGTGTCCTTTAAATCCACGTTGATTATCCATCCAAACTTTTTTTCTCGTGGTTTTGGTTTAGGGCGGGCAGCTACCAGTGCCCAATCTCTTTTATCTATGATTTTCTTTATGAATTAGTTTTGCAGAAACTGCACTTAAAAGAAATGTCTTATGGACTATTTTTGACGCAGGCTTAAACCATGAATTTTGAAATGTCAAAAATAAAATTCCAACTATTTATTTATTTTACCGTTGATATTATGTTAAATACAGCAACAAAAAATTTTATTTAGCCAAACCCTACTTGGGTAAACCCTATCAATGCTTCCGTCCTTTACCTACTCAAAAAAGTTATCCACCAAGAACTGCAACTATTAATTACCAGCTAGTATACGTAAAAAATATTCGTCAATCATCGAAAACGAACACACATTTATAGACGTAACTACTTGAATTCATACATCTAAAAAGTAGAACACAACTTTCGATTATTGAAATTATTTAATAGGTCTTGATCTTTAAAATTTGATAAATTTATTATTAAAAAAAATAATTTTTCCAGTAAAATCGTCCATCCGTTCTTAATAATGACTATAGTGGATAAGAAATATAAGCCGTGAGAGGATTTGACTTTTCCATCTCATTCATGAATTAGGCCCCGCCCTTTACTTGACTTAGCTATGAGTGTTATAATTTTCCGTCAAACTGTAAATTCATAGGCCATTCACAGACGTACAGAGTTTAATGTGTTCCCTTTTCCTAAGGTAAAAAGCTAGTTCCATCTTCCATCAAATAAATTACAAATACAGAGCAAAAACCAACACTGAACTTCCTTTCTTATATCCATAATCCAACAATTTTTTCTCTCCATATTTTCTTTAATGGATTTACAAGGGAATCACGTTGATTATGCTCTTAATGGAAAAGTTATGCTCTGCACCGGCCTCATTCTCTTCGGTACAGTACTCAGCGTTCTCTGCTTCCACAACTACGTCCGCATCCTCTTCCGTGACACCCGTCGTCGTTACATGCGACACCGTGCCCGGAGATTGCTCTCCATTTCTACTGCCGCTAACACTTCCAAGGGTTTGGATTCTTCCGTCATTAAGACCATCCCTATTATGGTTTACGCCACCAAAGCCAGCTGTTTCCCTCCGCTCGATTGCCCCGTTTGCTTGTCGGAGTTCGAAAACGACGACAAAACACGCGTTTTGCCTGAGTGTAATCATACCTTCCATGTTGACTGCATCGACATGTGGTTTTATAGTCACTCTAATTGCCCACTATGTAGAGCTACGATCCAAGCTGTTAAACCGATGAACCCAGAGAAGACCGCCGGCTCAGTGGCTGAAACTGCCGGCTCAGAGCCTGCTAGAGATGATATTGAAAACCCTTTTTCTTCTTCTTTTTCTTCTTATTCGTCGTCGTCGTCATTAGAGTTGGAGAGTTGCTCCATGCAAAAACTGGAGCTAGTGGGAATTGTTGTGGAGGTACCCACTGGAGCTCCATGAGGAATCGAGTTTAGATAATCGGATCCAGGTTCCAATAAGGATACGGAGCGTATAGCATAAAAAAGTATTTTTCTTTCACATTTATATGTCAAACATAGGAGAGTGTTTTTATCATTATGGTAACTACTTTTCAAATTGTCAACGAAATTTGGTTAGTATAGAGATTTAAAAAGCAAATATAGTCGTATTTTCAGTCACGTCGAATTATCGTAATTGTGACAATAGTGGATATCATTGTAAAATAATGATTTCGGATGATACCTTTACCATTATATAAAGGTCACTATTCCAATAATAGACCACTAATCTCTAGCTAAAGGTATGTGTAATAACGAATATGTTGAAATTGATCAAAACATTGAATGAAATTTTAGATGATCTTTAAATTCAATAACTCTATTCATATGAGAAGAATAATATATTTTAATAAAAATTTTTGGAGTGAACATTGTACAATGAAATACACTATTGATGTGACACACCAAAATACACAATTAATGTGACACATCAAAATACACAAATAATTTACATTACAAAATGCGTGGAATAATAAAAAAAATGGAAAATATTTCCATATCATCGCTGTCGCAAAATTTTTAACGATATGGTATCAAATTGAAACCTAAACTAAAAGTTAGACATGATTTTGAAAAAAATGTAATTTAGGCACTAAAACAAATAAAAGTGATAATATAGGTACTAAAAGTGTAAATTATCCAATGGATAATAACAGTTTCCGGTAAAAAAACGTTATTGTTAGTTGTGATTCCTCCGAGGAAATTTCATTCTCGTGCCTGTGGATTCAATAACGGAATTTGTCTTATTCCAAGAAGAAAATAATAACAGTTTAGCATTAATCTTATACTGCTCGGTCCATAGCAGTTCAGCATTCCGTTTTCTATCAAACCTTCAATATAATTCTTCACTTCATTGAAAAAAGAAAGAATGAACGTTCAACTCAACTGTTAATTAGTTTGCCCATATTAAGCTAGCAGTGTCCCAACAAGAAGCTAGACACAGTGAAGTTAGCTGCATCGGTTGCATTTATTACATGGAACTCTGTGAAATGTTGGAACCGGGTCCCGAGTTTTTGTATTCAGCATAGTATGATGTGTTCAAGGCAAAATCTCCGTCCCACGCTCTCCACCCAGCTGGATCTACCAAACTCCCCATGATATTCTGCATGTAAACTGTCCTCGAATACTCCTTCCACAGTCTCCCTAGATACGTTCTGAAGATTGTGTTGCTCGGTGCCAGACCATCGGCAGCCATGATGTTGCAGTCGTGAATTGACGTGCCTGTGTTCTGGTTCGGATCGGTCCGGCCCTGCGCGGTGATGGCGTTGAATTGTCCATCCATCGGCTTTCAGGGTATATGTTGCAGTTTTGGAAAACAACGGAAGCGTTGCCGAATATAAAATCAAAAGTGCCGTAGATGTTGCATTCTCTGTAGAATTGTCTTAAGGAATGTGTATATAAGGTATCTAAGTATCCTTCGAAACTGCAGCTATTGAATGCTGATAAATCAGACCTGTTTCGAACTGCGACGGCTTGGTGCTTGATTGCTCCGGCTGTGTTCTGGAATGTTATGTTCACCGCAACAAAATTTGGAGCCACCACAGCTGTAATATTAAGCCAAATTTATCAGATTAAAGGTAGTTTAGTTACTTCAAATGTCCTTTTTAAGGAATAAAATATCACTTTAACTTGTATTCTTTTAATATTTTACTCTCTAATATTTTGATTTTTATCAAAATAATTCTCTTAGATAAAAACCAACTAACAATCAACGCACGAAGTAATCACTTGAACAAACAATAGGGGCTAAAATATCTTTTTTTAATTAAAACTTGCCGAAGGTTGCAGAGTTAAACGTTGTCCAGCCATCAACGACGCTGCGGTTTCCCGTGATTATTGTCTGATTAATACCGTCACCAATCATCATCAATTACCTTTTATTCTTAACAATGGAAATCTACTCTTGATAAACACCAGCAGTGATGTAAATCAAGAAGTAACCATTTAAACCATTGGTGTTGTTAGGAGCTGCGGTTAGAGCATTGGTAATGGTGGTGAAATTACCGCTACCGTCCAGACTCACCGTCACAATGTCACTCACCAACACCTCCTCCTCAACACCACCGTTGTTCGTTTGAAGAAGATTTCTTCGGCTTACGGTCTCGTAAATCGTGTTTGTTTTGCTCGACATTTTGAAATGCAAACGACCGTGCTTGAAACCGAGCTGCCTTTTACTACTACGCTGCCATGCCCACCCGGCTTTCTTCTTCTTCTTGGGAACCCAGCCCTTCGTGAAAAGAGCCAAAGACACACTGTAGAGCTTTGTGTCGTTTGACAGAGGAACTGACAGGCCGTTCTTTATGCTCCAAGCCTAGGCGGTGGATCGTATGCCGTCAAAACATGTCTGCTGGTTGGTCAAAATTGCGCTGAGAAAGGTTTGTATGTCATCAGCATCGACGGGAGACAGTGTTCTACTAGTGGCATTGACGGAGTCATATGAGCTCAATAGGAAATCCATGCTGAGACCAGCTAGAAAGCGGCAATCCTGCAAAGCAAGAATGGCGGACACCGACAACGTTGGTCGGTATTTCTGTTGGTACTTGTCGACCAATTTGACGAATTTAAGAGATTGAGACAGATTTGCGAATCGAGAATCGACCATAGTTGTAGACATCGGTGGCGTGGTTGGGCAGAACTGATCTGCAATAAGAAGGGCGTGGAATACAGGTTTCAAATAGCGGCCAAATAGTGGTATCGTAGTCGTGGCGGTGTCTAAAATCGCTATCGCAAAAAATAACGGTGTAAAGCGGGATCACACCAATAACGACGGATCACAACCGTAATTTAATAGAACGCGGCCAATCGCAATGCCGCTATTATTTCGTTAATTTATTTCAAAAACAGTTTTTATTAAAAAAAATCAGTTCATTCGAAAAAAAAATCACGATTGTGATATCCGCAATAATCACAATATCATTCGTTATCTTCGCAACCGTGATAAATGCGACGCGACCGAAAACGTGACGTGAACGCTATTTAAAATCTTGGTGGAATAAACTTGCAAAGTGTTCCCGGTGAGACGGGAGCGGAAGGCGGAGCATCTGCAAGAGAAGAAGAAAAGAAGAGAGGAAGAAGAATGAAGATTATTAGAAGGGAGCAGAGCGAGGAATCCATTGCTTTCAATTTTTAGCTCTTTTTTCTTTTTTTGAGAATTTGTGTTAATGAGTAGGTTGTATTTAAAGTGGGAAAAAGGAACCAAAGCAAACTATTTATTTAGCGGTTCAATTAATTTTGTAATTCTATTTTGTTTATTCAATTATTTTAAAAAAAATTATATTTAATATTATATTTTGGTTTATTTTAATTATATGTCGATATTAACATATCATCGTAAGATAATGCTACATCATTATTGGAAAAATATATCACATCAACAGTTTTACTAATTTTTTTAATTGTTGATGATTAGAATAAAATCAAAATGCAACGTTAAGTGTAACTTAAAAAATAATCAGATGATAAAAACGAAATCTAACGAAGAGTTGATTGATTAAATATTTAAATGGTTTGTGAGGTAATATTAAATTGGTTTGTGGGGGCAATTTCAGAGGATAAACCCTGTAATGTTAAGCTATATTTGATTTGCAGTTTTAAACCACTTGCATTATACCATTTTTCAATTTACCAAGCATCCAAATGTATTGCAATTTTATTTCTACTAATTGCCTAATTTCCGTATGAATTTTCAGTTGTTCATGTAGGGATGAACCGTAGATTGATCAAAAGAATTATATATATTTTTTAAAAATTAAAGTTTTTATATAATTTTATATATCCAGTTAAATCGACGAAACAAGTGCCTGGGAGGCCTACTTATCATAATTGAACGAAGTAATCCATGCAAAGTCTGGAAACTACTTCCGAGCCCCCAACGACCTAAAGTTCTGAGTACAGTATCAGCCACAAAGAGTGGGGTTAGGTTGATAATGGTGACCTAATTTATCTTATTCCTAAATATCAAAATTTGAATAAGTATGTTTTTAAGATTTTAGTGGCTTAAAATTAATATAAAAATTAAATCTCTAATTACAAGTATTTTAAAAATTAAATTTTAGGAGGTCGGTTTCGGACATCTCAATTTTATCAAAAAAATAATAAAAGAATAAATAATTAGAAACTAAAAAATAAGTTAAAAAACGTCACATCAACAATAAGTGACTAAGATGAAAATAAAATGTATCTTTAGATATAATTTAAAAATAATAATAATTGAATTATTAAAATAGAAATAAAATAATATATGAGTAATTAAAGATGTAATTTAACATTTTCTAACTATATGCTTATTTCCTAATTTTGGGCCTATGGTCTTGTTTAAAGAATTTGGTATCTCATAAGAGATGAATATTTAATCGAGTATAGGTGTTCACTATTTGGTTTTAACAAAATTAACTGACCGAATCGAATTAATTCAATTAATTCGGTTAACCATTGAATTAGTTCATTCAGAAACGATTAATTTTTTTCAATATTCGATTAATGATTAATTCGAAATTAATTACCCAAAATTATTAAATATTAAATATATTATATATTAGATCTATATTTTAAGCTCAAATCTAGGGATGGCAAAAAAACTCGAACCCGACGGGGAAAATCGAAAACCGAATTAAACGGGTCGGGTTCGGGGATGATAAACTGGGACGGGGACGGGGATGGGGAAAACCCATTTATTTTAAACGGGGACGGGGACGGGGACGGGTTTGGTAATCCCCGCCCCGATTACCCGCCCCGATACCCGACCCGATAAATATTAAAAAATAATTATATATATATATATAATATTAATAAATTTAATTTAAATAAAAAATATATATTTAATTTAAATATATATATATATACCCGGCCCGATTCTCGGCCCAATACCCGTTTAAATAACCGTTTATGCTAAACGGGGATACCCGTTTCCCCGCAGTTTTCCCCGATTACCGGACGGGGATCCCCGTTTAAATCCCCATAGTTTTTTAAACGGGGACGGGTACCGGT